TATTTTAACGAATTTAGTTTTTATTCTTGGGTTTGTTTTGCGCAGCGTGTCATTATATTGTCTTGCTGAAAAATAAGGCCTTTACTCTATACCAAATCGGGACACTTTCACTTCCTTTTCCCGATCACGCTACTAGCAATAAGCATCCACAATGACGTCCCTTCCATGTTCCAGTAAATCGTAATGCACGACACTTTTTTATATTTTACAAGACCCAAAGCAAAGACTTACGCGGATAGAGCATTGGTTTTGGTGTTGGCATTGGTTTCTTATTTTGTGATAACCAATAGGTTTTTCGTCAACTGCTAACATGCAAAACTCATTTTTCATCACCTGTAATAATGATATGCAAAAATGAAAGATTGACATTTTATCATTTCAAGATTTTTCTTAAACTGTGAGGAAATTGTCTAACATCTCCCCCCTCTCTCTCTCTCTATATATATATTTAATACATAATAATGTATTATATATATATATAATATATATATATATATATAATATATAATAATAATGATATATATGATACATAATAATAATAATAATAATAATAATATATATATATATATATATATATATATATATATATATATATATATATATATTATTTTAATACCTATACTCGGGCGGTGTGTAAAAACCGTAGAGTACAATTTGTAAATAAAATATATTTGAACAAACCGATATCAGGGAAAAATTCAGTAAAAAGAAAAAAAACTAAGGCCATCCGTGTTGGTTGAAGATAATCAATCAGCACCGTAATGGTTAATCAAAGAAAAAAAAAACACCGACAGAGTAAAAACGTCAAAGTGCTCAATACCCTAAGTAGAGCAAAATCTATAAACCTAGTGGGCCATAACATACCTGTTAACAGTTTAACCTAACGGATCTTCTGGATACTACTGGCCAGTAGTACCCTGAAGATCCGTTAGGTGAAACCGTAGTAGGTAGGTTCTGGCTCAATAGGATTTGTATATATATATATATATATATATATATATATATATATATATATATATATATATATATATAACGTCATCCACAGACAAACTGTTTCGCAGCTCATCAGTGTGGTTAGACATCCGGTTGCCTCTAGCTAGGATCGAAACCCGACTGAATTGGTGTCAGTCGGAGATTCTAACCATTAAGCCGTCGGTAAGGATAAAAGTGGATTTTTAGCGTATTTATTTTTAGAAACACGCCCAGTGACTCAATTCGCATCTGCGAAGAGTCTATATAAAAGTGAAAATAGAAGTCAACACTTAGAGACGACAGTCTGTTTCATGCTAGATGCAATCGTCAGGCCACGAGTGTTGTTATTTTTCTTGGATAAATAGTCGAGAAAAATAACAGCACTCGTGGCCTGACGATTGCATCTAGCATGAAACAGACTGTCGTCTCTAAGTGTTGACTTCTATGTTCACTTTTATATTTACACACGCTCTATGATATTGAGCACTTAATCCCATAAATATAGAACATCTTAAGACTATATATATATATATATATATATATATATATATTCTTTATTTCTAACAAAATTTATCTATTTCTTAATATTTTGCTTAGTTTCTGGAAGTCATCTATTTCGATTCAATTTCGTCTTTTGCTTGTCACATCTTCCGTTGTCTGTTAATACACACCCCACGGTAAAGTGTCGAAACACGCTGAAACTAGCTTAATCATCAAATTTTGTTCTCGAATGTGGATTTAGTTTGTGTCGAAATGATAAAAGCCTGGTAAATAGCGGAGTATCGATAAAGTCAGTGGGCAACGATGCAAAGATCCATACCTCTATATCGCTGTCCCAAATGTAGTAGGCCCCCACCCTATCCAAAAATGAAACGTGGTTAGTGTTTTGTTTTTCACAGCGTCAGGTTTTGCCATATGACCCGAGACTTTGAAAGTAAGGCACCACAGAATAAAATCATGCAGGAAGGGACAAAAGCAGATATGAAGTTTTAAAAACTCCTGGTTCTATATTTTTGTTTTGGTCTTCTCATTAAATAAACATTTCTTTTATATCTGTTATCCAACTGTAAATATTTGTTTTTGTTTCGATTACAAATATGTAATTTTCTGTTACTGTTTAGTTGTACTTGGTGGTTGTAATGAGACCTATAGATCTTTTGCACATATAAAACTAATAAAGAAGTTTTAGAAGCTAATCAAAGATGAAAAGGAAGACGAAGACTTATCATTTATTTTGAAAATGAATGGCAGTAATGATTTGGCAGGGTGTTGTGGTTCAATTCATATCAGCTGGCAATGAGAAATCGGAAAACTGAGTTCAAATTCCAGACGAACCCGACTGGAATTTGAACAAAATTTCACCCAGTTACGCGCAAATACACCTTTTGGAAAGGTATGCATTCATCGCTTTTTCCCTCAGCTATGGTTTGAACGGTAGGATAGACTAGGTTCTATAGCCTTGATTGGTAACCAGAATACCGCAGAAAGAAACGGCAACTTACAATGGGAGGATCTTCTGCATCGCCAGTCATGACTCGAAAGAGACATAACCGCCCAAGCGTGTATAGCGTATGACAACTAACTGATTGCTCTCATTAAAAGGATTGAATAGAAGGACAGACTGAGTCCTATACCCTTGCTAGGCAAGCAGTCTATTGCAGAAAGAAACGGCAACCTACAGCGGTAAAATCTTGCTCTTTGTCACAAATGAATCTAAAGGACATGGTCGCCCAAGCGTGTATAGCGCTACGGTTCACTGACTGGTCTAGTTAAAAATATTGAATAGAAGGACAGACTGGGTCTTATATCCTTGCTTGGCAAGCAGTCTATCGCAGAAAGAAACGGCAACTTCCAGCGGTAAAACCTTGCTCCTTGCCAGTCATGAATCCAAAGACACATGAACGCCCAACCGTGTATAGTGTATGGCAATTAACTGATTGCTCTCGTTAAAAGGATTGAATAGAAGGAGAGACTGGGTCCTATATCCCTGGTTTGTCAATCAGTCTATCGCAGAATGAAACGTTAACCTATTGCGGTAAAAATTATCTGCCTAATCAGTTATGAATTGAAAGAGTTATGATCGCCAAAGCGTGTATTACGTATGACACAATAGCATTGTCAGAGATTGAGGCTAAAAGCCACAGTTTTTGTATAATATTCAGTTCCTGCAAAAAGTGAAAGTTTGAAGGCCGCCCTCAGGTATCACTACGTCGCTGTGTATGTAGAATATGAATGTTTTGATGCATTTGTTTAATAAATCCTTATCATTATAAATTCATCATCTGATTCTCCTGTGGACACTTGAATCTTTGGCAAGTTATATTTGTTACGTTACAAGGGTTCTGCGAGTGTTTCGTTTTTATTTCAACTTGCAAGAATTCATTCGATGGTTGCCTGAAATAGGAAATTCTGAAAAGAACGTATAAGGTTTAGGAATTTTGATAGACACGAGAAATAATAGAAGAGAAGAATTACTAAGACATGAAATGCCTTTGATGTTTAAGCCGAAATCGCGAAATCTGTAATCCTTTCGAAAAGAAACTTTTTTTGAATTTGGTCATATCGAAATTCTGCCTGCAGATCATGGAAGTATTAGCACATTTTACTTAAAGTAAATGAAACAAAAACAAACGATATATATATATATATATATATATATATATATATTACAAAGATTGGGAGAGGGAAAAGAGTAGGAGTGGAGGGAACACTAGGAAAATAAAAGATGGAGAGAGGTGAAAGAAAATGAGAGAGACAGAGAGAGGGAGACAGAGTTGGGGAGAGAGAAAAGTAATTTGTGACTACAGGGGTGATAGTCGGAAAAACACACAGAGAGAAACAGAATGAGTGAGGGAGTAGGAAAGCAGCGTAAGAAGAGAGGGTGAAGAGGAGAAAAAGGAACGAAGGCGAGACAAAGATGTGAGAGTGGGAGAAACGAAAAGAAAGATAAAGAAGATGATTGATTCATTTCTTGCGACTTCCCAACCCTTTTCAGATTATTCAAAAGCTATGAAATACTTTTAGATTATAAGAAATTTGGGGGATATAGATATAATAATGGTTTAGTGATACAAGTCTTACTAATTAGAACATATCTGGCGTGGGGGAGAATAGGTCGTTTCATACCTTTCCCGAGATTATTTGCGAGTAAGTGAATATAACGAACCTAACAGGAATCAGAACTCGGCTCTCCAATTAACAATTCCGAGCTCTTATCTATTACACCACCCGCACATCCAAGCTTGCAACACTTCATATTCCGAAGCGGTTATCAATCTAGGTACTGACCTGAGAGCGAAGGAGGAAAAAAGAGAAAACACCGACAAAGAGATACATTTTGGTTTGGTTTGGTTTGGTTTACGGCATATCAACCTTAATGGGTTACTTAATGCCGAGATTTTTATTGCTGATAATATTTTTTTTTATTAAAATGTGTTTCTGGTAATAATTTTTCTTGAAAGATTTACTGCTGGTAATAATTTTTTACAAATTATTTCTGGTATTAAAAGCTATTTTTACACTTTCATAGTATTTTGACCATAGTTTGGGGACTCAATTACTTGCCCGTAGCTGGGACTCTAACAGGTGCTACCACCCCGGGTCAGGGTAGACCTGGGAACAGTATCAATTAAGAGGTGGTTTCACGCTCCTTAAAACTTCCTGATCATAGGCCTTGCTGTTGGACGGAGTTTATCGTCTTACCCAGGACGCGGATAGAGTTTATCGTCATACACAGGACGCGGATGGAGTTTATCGTCATACCCAGAACGCGGATGGAGTTTATCGTCATACGCAGGACGCGGATGTAGTTTACCGTCATACCTAGGACGCGGATGGAGTTTATCGTCTTACCCAGGACGCGGATGTAGTTTATCGTCATACCCAGGACGCGGATGTAGTTTATCGTCATACCCAGAATGCGGATAGAGTTTATCGTCATACCCAGGACGCGGATGTAGTTTATCGTCATACCTAGGACGCGGATGGAGTTTATCGTCATACCCAGGACGGACGAAGAGATATAAGAATCAAAGAAAAATAAAGGGAACAAAGAAGAGAGAGAAGAGACAGGAGGTCAAAAGTAGAGATGAACTAAAGCAAGTAAGGACAAGAGAAAGCGCGCGCGCGAGTGAGAGAAAGAGGGATAGATAAAAAGAAAGATTGATAGAGGGGAAGAGAAGAATATAAAATGTTGCTATAGTATCGGGCAACATAGCATGGAAAACTATCACGCATAAAAATGGCACCATTTCTTATTTACAGGAATTATAAGAAAACCTGGAGGACCTCTTTGAATTCAAAACACTTTCGACCATGTCTTAATATGCATAAAAATATGGTTTTAGGATTATGCTATTGAAACCTGAGAATGGTCGCCGGACCTCAGTCTGTACAATCTACATATATATATATATGGAACTAATGTCTTTAATTTAATTACAAAATTAAATTCGGGGCTTTTAGCTTCCATTTTTGAAACATGGTTAGAACTGTGTGCGAAAAAACATATTTTAAATCAATTAATTTATAATATATATATATATATATATATATATATGTGTGTGTGTGTGTGTGTATTTCCATTTCACCTAAAGCAAGGCGGGAATGCCACTAGTGCGTAGTGGGTTGCAGGAAGTGAAAGTTAAAGGGAAGACTGAGAGTAAGGAGGATTGATGAACGGGATTCAAAAATACACAAGATGGTGATTGATGCTGCATTTAATTTTTTTGAAGAATTTAGCTATCAGGGAAGCAAGTATACAGAAGGGAGTTTCACAGGTGAGAAGTGCTAGAAAAGAAAGTAGAAGAAGGCGTAGAAGTGGCGACTGCGTTTAACTTTTTCAACAGTAAAATGGTGGGGATACCAATCTAGTAGCACGCTTAAATTCAGATAGTCTGACAAAAGATGAACGGGAGTCAAGAATACAGGAGATGGCGATTGATGTTACATTTAAATTTTTGAAGATTGTTGGTATCAGGGAAGCACACACTGTCTTTCAGAGGTAAGATAGTGGCCATTAAAAATATTCCGGTATTCAGAAAATAATTATGTAAGTAATTATCACCGCTATGAATTATAGAAATTTTCCAAGCATAGCTTAGATGTGGCACAAGTCCGAAAGTAAGGGGCACCCAATGAGGATCGAACTCACTACTCATTCGTAATTGTTCTAGCGAGACAAGCTTGCTGACCATTACACCACCTCGAGGTGCCCTATAGTGATTTCCCAAGCTTATAGCTTAAATGTGGCACAAGTCCGAAAGTAAGGGGCACCCAGTGAGGATCGAAGTCACTACTCAGTCGTAATTGTTCTAGCGAGACAAGCTTGCTGACCATTACACCACCTCGAGGTGCCCTATAGTGATTTTCCAAGCGTAGCTTAGATGTGGCACAAGGTCGAAAGTAAGGGGCACCCAATGAGGATCGAAGTCACTACTCAGTCGTAATTGTTCTAGCGAGACAAGCTTGCTGACCATTACACCACCTCGAGGTGCCCTATAGTGATTTTCCAAGCGTAGCTTAGATGTGGCACAAGGTCGAAAGTAAGGGGCACCCAATGAGGATCGAAGTCACTACTCAGTCGTAATTGTTCTAGCGAGACAAACCTGCTAACCATAACGCCGCCTCGAGGTACCCAAAATGATTTTCCAAGCGTAACTTAGATGTGGATCAAGGCCGAATGTAGGGGGAACCTAATGAGGATCGAACTGGTCTAGCAGGACAAGCTTGCTAACCATTACACCACGCCTAGGCGCCCCAGTCAACAAAACAATTGAGAATCAAGGTTGAATGATAGGAAATTGTACCTGGTATATTTTGTATTATGCTGGGAAAAGGATACATTTCATACACTGCTCTTGAAAGGATCTGATTCCTACTGCTATGCTTCATATTTACAAGAGCCAGATCGGTCACAAAATTAGAGTATTACTGCTGCCCAGTCTTCACTTTTCAGCCTTTACAGAATTCAAAAATCACTTACGCGGCCTTGTCGGTGATGAATTATTTCCCACCTTACAACAGTTTTCTCGCAGAACAAACGTTGCTAGCCTCTTACAGTGCTAGCGTTATTTTCATGGAAGATGTTCAGAGGACCTACATTCATTAGTTCAACCAGTCCAGAAATTTACACCTAAGATCCGCCATGCCACGTACAAAGAATCGACTCATCCTTATTCCGTTCGTATTCGACTGGTAAAGAGGAAGTTCCACTCGGAGAGATTCTTCCCGAAAACTGTTTCGTTGTGGGACAAATTCTCGAAAGGCTGCTTCTCCGATCATGTGATCTTAACCCTCTTCAAGTCTTTGGTCAACTGTTATCTATCCTACATAACTTTGTAATATGCACTTCTTACTCAAACCTTGTAGAAGAAAGCAACATACAGCCTATCTGGCGACCTTGACGGAATGGATGGTGAAACAGAGTTTGGAAGAGATGTCAAAAAAAAAAAAAACATTAAAAAGTTATTATGATCTACAAAGGACAGGAAATTGTGGCGCAATGATCACCAACGTACTAAAAGGAAACTATATAAAATGGATAGCGGCTCGGATTGAAGAATCGGGGAGCCGAGTTCGAATTCCAGTCGAATCCATTACATTCACTTACTCTTGGGAAAGGTATAAATCCATTTCTTCTCCATCCCCCCAGCTATGGATAAATAGAAGGACAGACTAGGTTCTATAGACTTGGGTGGCAACTGAACTACGGCAGTAAGAAATGGCAACCTACTGCGGGAAAAAATCTGCCTCGTCAGTAATGTATCGAAAGATACATGATCGCCTAAGTGTGTATCACGCATGGCACATAACTGACTGACTGACATAGAAGAAGATAAATAAGATTAGCTTTCACCCGTGAATATGCTTTTTATTAGAGGAAGTTTTCCCCATAAAAGAGCTTAGCAGCAATCGAAAAGTCTTATTGTCGGTTTGTCTAAAACATGGTGAACATGGTGCTATTCTAAGCGTAGTTCGGAAGTAGCACAAGCCCGAATAGTATGGGCGACCCTGTGAGGATCGAACTCATTATTCATTCGGAATTGATCCAGAGGGACAAGCTTGCTAACCATTACATGTCTCGAAATGATGATTTTCTAAACGTTCCTAAGATGTGGAACAAGGATGAACGTACTGGGCACCTAGTGAGGATCGAACTCACTCTTAAATCGTAATTGTCCTAGCGCAAAAAGCTTGCTAAATATTACACCACGTCGAAGTGTCGAAAATTCAGGTGAATATAACGGGGTAGAGAATATGTGAATGTGAGGAGGTACAGAATATGTGAATATGAGAGGGTATAGAATATGTGAATATGAGGAGGTAAAGAATATGTGAATATGAGAGGTAAAGAATATGTGAATATGAGGAGGTAAAGAATATGTGAATATGAGGAGGTAAAAGAATATGTGAATATGAGAGGGCATATGTGAATATGAGGAGGTAAAGAATATGTGAATATGAGAGGGTATAGAATATGTGAATATGAGGAGGTAAAGAATATGTGAATATGAGAGAGTACAGAATATATGTGAATATGAGGAGGTAAAGAATATGTGAATATGAGAGAGGTACAGAATATGTGAATATGAGGAGGTAAAAGAATATGTGAATATGGTATAGAATATGTGAATATGAGGAGGTAAAGAATATGTGAAAATGAGAGGGTATAGAATATGTGAATATGAGGAGGTAAAGAATATGTGAATATGAGAGGGTACAGCATATGTGAATATGAGAGGGTACAGAATATGTGAATATGAGAGGGTATAGAATATGTGAATATGAGGAGGTAAAGAATATGTGAATATGAGAGGGTATAGAATATGTGAATATGAGGAGGTAAAGAATATGTGAATATGTGAGGGTATAGAATATGTGAATATGAGGAGGTAAAGAATATGTGAATATGAGAGGGTACAGAATATGTGAATATGAGGAAGAATATGAATATGAGAGAAGAATATGTGAATATGAGGAGGTAAAGAATATGTGAATATGAGAGGGTACAGCATATGTGAATATGAGAGGGTATAGAATATGTGAATATGAGGAGGTAAAGAAATGTGAATATGAGGAGGTAAAGAATATGTGAATATGAGAGGGTATAGAATATGTGAATATGAGGAGGTAAAGAATATGTGAATATGAGAGAGTACAGAATATGTGAATATGAGGAGGTAAAGAATATGTGAATATTAGAGGGTACAGCATATGGGAATATGAGAGGGTATAGAATATGTGAATATGAGGAGGTAAAGAATATGTGAATATGAGAGGGTATAGAATATGTGAATATGAGGAGGTAAAGAATATGTGAATATGAGAGGGTACAGAATATGTGAATATGAGGAGGTAAAGAATATGTGAATATGAGAGGGTATAGAATATGTGAATATGAGGAGGTAAAGAATATGTGAATATGAGAGAGTACAGAATATCTGAATATGAGGAGGTAAAGAATATGTGAATATGAGAGGGTACATGAATATGTGGGCCATGAATATGTGAATGTGAGGAGGTAAAAAAGAATATGTGAATATGAGAGGGTATAGAATATGTGAATATGAGGGAGGTAAAGAATATGTGAATATGAGACAGAATATGTGAATATGAGGAGGTGAATATGAATATGAGAGGGTACAGAATATGTGAATGAGGAGGTATAGAATATGTGAATATGAGGAGGTAAAGAATATGTGAATATGAGGAGGGGTATAGAATATGTGAATATGAGGAGGTAAAAGAATATGTGAATATGAGGAGGGTATAGAATATGTGAATATGAGGAGGTTAAAGAATATGTATGAGAATATGTGAATATGAGGAGGTAAAGAATATGTGAATATGAGAGGGTATAGAATATGTGAATGTGAGGAGGTAAAGAATATGTGAATATGAGAGGGTATAGAATATGTGAATATGAGGAGGTAAACAATATGTGAATATGAGAGAGTATAGAATATGTGAATATGAGGGAGGTAAAGGTATGTGAATATGAATAATATGTGAATATGAGATATGTGAATATGAGAGGGTATAGAATATGTGAATATGATGAGGTAAAGAATATGTGAATATGAGAGGGTACAGAATATGTGAATATGAGGAGGTAAAGAATATGTGAATATGAGAGGGTATAGAATATGTGAATATGAGGAGGTAAAGAATATGTGAATATGAGAGGGTATAGAATATGTGAATATGAGGAGGTAAAGAATATGTGAATATGAGAGGGTATAGAATATGTGAATATGAAAGGTGCTGAATATGTGAATATGATGAGGTACAGAATATGTGAATATGAGGAGGTACAGAATATGTGAATATGGGGAGGTACAGAATATGTGAATATGAGGAGGTACAGAATATGTGAATATGAGGAGGTACAGAATATGTGAATATGAGGAGGTACAGCATATGTGAATATGAAGAGGTGCAGAATATGTGAATATGACGGTGTAGAGTATATGTTAATATGTCGGGGTACAGAAAACAACCAGGAGTTAAAGTTTTTTCTTTTTTTATTCCTGCTCTAGATGGTCTTGCGCTCTTCCGCTTGGCAAGTACAAGCTGCTTTTTGACCAAACTTTTACGGACACGTTGCAATATATAAATGTGCACTTTCTGTTTTATCATTTTTAAGTACTCTAAATGAATAATAATCCAAATATTCAACCACCTGCACAACATTATTTTTCTTTCCGAAGTTCATCTTTTTGCGTCGGTTGTAAAGATTTATCATTGCCTCTCCACTGCCATTGCACTAAACATTGTTGTATGCAACCCACGTTTCATCACCTGTTATGCGATATTCAAGGAACAGGTACTTATGATCGTACATTCGTGAATAAAATTGGTCCACTAAAATTATTTATGATACAACGTAATTGCGAACTATAAAATGGAGATACCAAAATCAAGTAAGTACGAAAATTTAAATCCGTTGTGTTTTAACAGAAAACGGAAAATATGACACAGAAAGCCGACGGCGCTTTTGAATAGCGAAAGATGCTTTTCAAAAGCTAATTAGAGAATAAAAAAAAAACAAGAAAATTCCATTAGAGAAAAACTGTTATATATACCACCTCCATGGTATTTAAGCATTCTCCCCACAGATGAATAAAAAAAACAAAAAAAACTCGAGGGAGTAGAAATGCGGTTCTACATAAGGATTCTGAGAATATCAGGGAATGTACATTTGAGTAACGAGGAAGTTTTAAGGAAAATAAGAAACAAAGAGGACACTTATATTAAGAATCAGAAAGAGACAGTTGAAATTTCTAGGATTTATAATGAGGAAAGAGATTTAGAGATTTTTGCACTCACGGGGCATATTGAAGGAAATAGAAGCAGAGGGAAGCAGCAAGTAGACCACTTAACAAGATGGTTGGCAAGGCAGGTTGTAGGCGGAATGGGGGAAAGATAAACCTTACTACGAGCTACAGGATAGGAAGTTATGGAGAGACGTGATCGGTCACATCCTGAAGGGACACGACACAGAGAAGATTTTACATATTTATTATCGAGTAGATTTTTGAACGATGAAAGTATGTAATATTTTTAAATTTAGAAAAAAAAAGAAATCGTGACTTTTAGGCAGGATTTCCAAACATTTGTATGATTCCAGAGCATGGACAAAGTAAACGAAGAAAGAAGATTATTGATTCTTTTCGAATAATAGATTTGCCGTCTGCATTACTATTCTTAGATTACATAGACTGGAAACGAAAAGAAAAAAAAAAGCGATATTTTGGGGTTCATTGCCTTCGAGTTAACCACGCTTCTCCCAAGTAAAATGGACCGATTTTTTTTTACAGCGATCTTCACGCTGTACAAGGCCCTGGAGCTACTCGAGGTAGAGCGTTATAGAGTATGAGGCACAGTCCATGCGGGTATGTGGGGGAGATAACGATTAACCCTATTCTTGAACAGGATGATATTGTAGTGATCGGGAAAACGACATCTTGAGAGTCGATTCTACAGAGCAGCGAGAAGAAGCTACTCGAGTGAAACTTACACTTCACCAATGGTATACGAATGGAATGAGTGTGGTTCACTACAATATGCATAACATGGCGGGTCTTAGCCGTGAAGGTCAGAACTGGTGGCACTAAGGAATGCAGTTTGTCTGAGCACTCCCCATGACTTGAAGCAAACTTTGCTCACAAAGAGAACATACGATAGAAATGAATATCCTGTATTCCTCAATTCTGTAATTCAGGCATGATAAAAAAGATATCTACGATGTTACCTCCCCCACCACACACACAGTATCTCTCTCTCTATTTCTCTCTTACTGATTTAGCTTTTTATTGTTTTTTTTGTGTGTTGTGGCTTTTTTTAATCAATAAAGCCACTAACACGCACGGGATTACTGAGTGTTAGAGAATATGAGAAAAAAATATACTATTAAGTAGAGAGGACAAGAAAAAAACACGAATTAAGGTAGGAAGATGAAGATTGATATTGCATTTAAATTTTTGAAGATCAAAATTGACTGTGAAACAAGAAACTGGAAGAGAGTTCCACAAGGGAGAATTAAGATAGAAGAAACTGTTAGCATAGAACTTACGGTTACATGTACTCATTTCAACTGTAAAATGGTGAGACCTTGCCGCCAATCTGCTACTGCGCTTAAATTCATAAATAACATCGCAAATTCTTTGGATTTTAACAAGAATCTCTAAATATATAGCAGGAGCAACAGACCAGATGCGACGCCAATATTCAATGCAAGAACGAATGGTAGATTTATAAATATGTAGATATTGACGAGAAAAATTGTCAAGCTAGACACAGTGAACCAACTTTCGTAGTTGTAGACTTAGGAATTGATTTTATATAACCTTTCCACATCATGTCATTTAAAATCCTTTCACCTCCAAGCAAGGCGACGACGTGATAATGTGATAACGAGAGTGAAAGAAAATGAGAAGACTTTAGTGAGGAGAAAGAACAATAAAAGAGCATGATTGAGGAAACACAAAGGGTAGTGATTCCAAACCTTAGTGTAAACAGGGTGAAGATCACTTGTAGGGTGGGAAGATTTTGTAACACATTCCGAATGGATATGGAATATTTAACGTGAAAAAAGATTTGGGATCCTGGCATTTTTAGGTTATGGCAAGTGGGATGTGGAATACAAGAATCGACCACAAGCTCCAACAAGAAATATTCGATTAAAGTAGACCAATTTTTTTTCTTTTTCATTTCTGGTTCCTGATTTTTTTTCTGATTTCTTGGAAAACTTCTTTATGTTCTTCCTTTTTTTTCAAATTAATTCTTTTAATTCTTTCTTTCTTTCACGTTCTTCCTTTTCTTTCAATTTCATTCTTTTCTTTCTTTCTCCCTTTCTTTCTTTCTTTCTTTCTTTTTTTTTTTCAAGTTCTTTCTTTCTGTTACATTCCTCTTTTTTCTGTCAATTTTCTTTCAATTTCATTCTTTTCTTTCTTTCTTTCTTTCTTTCTTTCTTTCTTTCTTTCTTACATTCCACTTTTTTCCGTCAATTTTCTTTCAATTTCATTCTTTCTTTCTTTCTTTCTTTCTTTCTTTCTTTCTTACATTCCTCTTTTTTCCGTCAATTTTCTTTCAGTTTCATTCTTTCTTTCTTTCTTTCTTTCTTTCTTTCTTTCTTTCTTTGTTTCAAGTTCTTTCTTTCTGTTACATTCCTCTTTTTTCTGTCAATTTTCTTTCAATTTCATTCTTTTCTGTTTTTTCTCTTATTTTCATATTCTTTTTCTTTCAAATTCTTTCTTTCTTTTTTCTTTCTTTCTGTCGCGTTATTTTTTCTTTCAAGTTCTTTCTTTTTAATTCTTTCTTTTACGTTCTTGCTTTCTTTCAATTCCTTTCTTTCTGTCACATTCTTCCTTTTCTTTTAATTTCTTTCTTTCTATTTATCTTTCTTCCTTTCTTTCTTTCTTTCTTTCTTTCTTTCTTTCTTTTATCTTTCTTTTTTCTTTCTTTCTGTCAGGTTCTTCCTTTCTTTCAATTTATTTTTCATTTCTTTGTTTCAGATTCTTTCTTGTCTTTCAATTTCTTTCTTTCTTTTAATTTCTTTCTTTCTTTCTTTCTTTCTTTCTTTCTTTCTTTCTGTCACGTTCTTCCTTTCTTTTAATTTCTTTCTTTCTTTCTTTCTTTCTTTCTTTCTTTCTTTCTTTCTTTCTTTCACGCTCTTTCTTTTCTTTCAAATTCTTTCAAATTCTTTCTTTCATTTTTTAAATTTCTTTCCTTATGTTCGTTCTTCCTTTTTCAATTTCTTTCTTTCATTTTCTTCCTTTTGTTTCAATTTTATTCTTTCACGTTCTTCCTTGTTGCAATTTCTTTCTTTCTTTCTTTCTTTCTTTCTTTCTTTCTTTCTTTCTTTCTTTCTTTCACATTCTCCGTTTTCTTTTAATTTCTTTCCTTATCTTTCGTTCTTCCTTGTCTTTCAATTTCTTTCGTTCATGTTCTTCTTTTACTTTCAATTTCTTTCTTTCTTCCGTTCTTTTTTCTTTCTTTCTTCTTCATCATTGAAACTTTTTCTTTCTTTCTTTTTCCTCTTTCCTTTATCCAAATGTACTTAGATTATGTTAGAGTCAAGTCATTCGCCCAATCCACTTCAGTAACAAAGAAAACGAATAGAAATATTTGAAGAAACAGATGAACCGATATCGGCAAAGCTTTGATAAAAAAAAAAAGATCCCTTGCATCTGCAATCTTTCTGTTAATCCCGACCAACTTGCCACAATTTCTCACAGACGAATTTATTACAAAATCAGATCATAATATCGACGTTGCCATCTCTCGATTACTTTTTTATTTCGTTAATATATTCGAACCTCAAAAATCTTCTGACAGTAAAATAGCGAATAACATAATGAACAATTGTAGACAAAAACTCTATTACATTTATTTATTTTTTATTGAATGTCATTGGATATTTCTGTGCTTCTATTCCCATCGTCAGCCAAAGATTTAACTTGATTGCATTTAGAAGCTCAAATGCAAAAGTACAATGTGGACTTGTAACGAACGTTAATTCAAAATTCTTACAAAGAGAAGATAATTCTGCAATCCAAAATTCTTAGAAAAAATTATTTTTACAATCTCAAGATTGCCATGTGATTTACCTTGTGTATTTAAATCAAGCTGTAAATTTAAATGCGATCGAAAAGGCCCACAATGTAAACTATGAATTGAAGATATCGAAGACAAGCAAGTACAAAAGTTTAAATATCTGTGAAGTGTTTCATCAGATGCTGGAAAATGAGACATCGAAATCCGAACGCACACTGGAATTCCAAAAGAAGCTTGCCTTTTCAACAGGAAAAGAGGTTTATCCTTTGTTTCCTGTTTAGGATTGCGTTTCTGGTTGCTCCTTAAGTTTTCCCGTTCTCTTTCACTTCCAGTAACCTCTTGCCTCTTAGTGTCTTTTTCGCCTTGCTTGGGGTGAATTGATTAATATATATTAATAGGAGTCAATAGATTCGCCCATGGTTTAAATATTGCTGCAACATCTGCTCTTGCGCTTCTGCTATATATGAGATTCCGAGAGGGTACCTCGACGAGGTGTAATGGTTAGAAAGCTCGTCTTGCTAGATCAGTTACCACTGAGTAGTGAGTCTAATCCTCACTGGGTGCCCCATACTTTCGGTCTTGTGCCACATCGAGGCCGCGCTTAGAAAATCATTATATGAGATTCCAAGATTCTTTATAAAATACAAAGAAGATTTTGCAATGTTATTTGCCCTAACCTGTCATCTCGGCTTCAGTCAGTTTTCCAACAATGTAACTTCCTTGTATCTTTTCTATAAATAGATTCTCATGGTAATTGTTCCGATGAACTTTTCTCTACGCTACCTAGACTTTACGAATTTAAGCGCATTACTTGATTGGCGGCAAGGTCTCATTCATTTACAGTTGTAATGGCTAGATATAACCGTAAATTCTATACTGACAGTTTCTTCTATAGCACTTCTTGTGGAAATCTCTTCATGCTTCTTGCTTTCCAGTCAACTTAGATCTTCAAACATTTAAATGCAATGTCAATCGTTATCTTCTGTATTCTTAATTCCCGCTCTTTTATTGTTCTTTTTCCTTAATAGTAGTTTTGTAACAAGAGTAGAGGTTTATCCCTTGTTTCCTGTTTAAGATTGCGTTTCCGGTTCATTCTAAAGTCTTCTCATTCTTTTTCACTCCCAGTAGCCTCTTGAGTTTTAGTGGCATTGTCGCTTTGCTTGGGGTGAATAAATTAAAAAAAAGAAAAGAAAGAAGAACTAAGAAAGAAGAAGATTCCGTGAGAAACAAAGAAAAGTTTGCTGATCTGCTATGTAATATCAATCTTCCTATATGACAGCGAATACTAGACAATTTCCTAACAGATAAAAAGAAAACTGGTGGTAACAGAAATATGCTTCTCCAGATAGATACTGAGGATACCATGGACAGAACACGTGATCAACAAAGAAGCCTGATAGAAAAGGGAAACAAAATTGGCACAGAATCGGAAAGAGCTGACATTTCCTGGCTACATAATGAGGAAAGAGAGCTTGGAAAACCTGACACTCACAGGACAAATCGAATGTGAGGGACAAATGGAGGCAGCGGGTCACCTATTTAAAGAACTTGAGCAAAAGGTTCGCGGAACGGGAGATGAAAGAGATTGTTAAAATGCAAAGGTTGCTAAGGACTACAAAAGAGAGGAAGTTGTGGAGCGCCATGATCGCCTTTGTTCTGAATGGACATCTCACATAGAATAATAATAATAATTGTAAAGTTACTTATAATGATGAGACGCTTCATCGTTTCAACGAACGTGCAATGAAATATTTGGATGTGGATAAAAAGTCCTCAATTTTTCCAACATTTTATCAAATTACGATCATTGTAAACAATTTTGCAATGATTCTGGATTGCTAAAAAGGAGCCTTATTGAAATAAACAATTTAAATACGATATGACAGTCTGGATGGTGAAAAAATAATTCTGTAGAATTAATACAATCGTGTGTAATTTTAGCATACACATGACATTATACTAATAGTAGACACACAAATCAAACAGCGGGGACTTCTACAGAAAGTAGTAAAAGAAATCGAGAAGAAAGGACTAATAATTATAAGAAAACAGGATATGTATAGATTTCAGCAAGAGGAAGAGCCCAAGATGCAAACTACAAATTAAAGACACCAAAAACAGGAGAATGCAAAAAAAATAAAATAAATAAATAAAATAAAATAAAAAATAAATAAATAAATAAATATCTGTGAAGTATTTTGACAGAGGACGGAAAACGTGACACCGAAATCCGAAGTTTTCAGGAAAATGGAAACAAAAGGTCGCTTCTACTTAGAATCAGAAACAGACAGTTAACATTTATAGAACACATAAGGAAAAAGGCCCAGAGAATCTTGTTAAATAATAATTTAGCAGACTATTATTTTTAGAGAAGTGTAACCCTGCTCCGACATCCCGAAGTTGACCTATGAGATCAGATACAAGACAAAACAAAGGAAGTCGACTTTGATTGGCTGAACCAGCGTGAGAACGATAGATAGAAAAAAGTTTTCAATGAGTCGAGTCTAAACCGTCAAACAATGTAGACGTGTTTTTATCGTCTTTGGAAACGGCTTCACTGTGGAGGGAGAACGGCTCCACTGGTTAGGTAGAGATGTATACGTTAACGTTAATAAACTAGTTAAGTTTAAAATTCCCTTTGTTGGTGTCTTTGGACCCAAAAGTATTTTGCTACCCGACTGGGAGAAGAAAAGCGAGAGAATATACAACATTGTATTAATTGACGTAGTGACAAAGACTTCCCAGCAAGAGGGGGCTGTACAACAATCTGACACTCACAAGACAAAATGAAGGCCAGAAGAACTGATGAGAGAAGTGACTAACCTACCTAACGAGGGATTGGGAAAAGGGATTGGGAGAGATATCGACTGGGAGAGATATCGAAAAGCGAAACCTTGCTAGAAGCTTCATGGAAAGTTGTGGAGAGCAATGAACGCCAACGTCTTGAATGGACACGGCACATAGGAAAAGAAGTTATGCAAACTGCTCCTCTTCCCCTAATTTCGATTAATTCCAGTTACAAGTTTGTACTTTGACATTTAGGATGTGTGGATGGATTGAAGAGCCGAATTAGAATTTTAACTGGATTCGCTGAATTTATTTACGCGCCAATACAACTGGGAAAGGTACGGGTTAAATAGTAGAACTTTTATCTTAAAAAGTTATTCTAAACATTTTTTTAATGCAATATTCACAAAAAAAAAGTAGTAAAAAAAGATAATTATTTTCCTATTTACTGACACTTTTCAAATTTTTAGTCTTAAATAGAGAAAGAGGAATGTCTCTTTCTCTATTACAGTTTCCCATTGCATAGCAAGAAGCTAGCAACTTTTATTCCGCGGGAAAGATCTTGTAGGGTGGAAATTATTTCATCATCGACAAGGCCGCGTAAGCGTTTTTTGAATTCTGTAAAGACTGGAAAGTGAGGATCGGGAAGCGCCAGCCCTGGCGTGGCAGTACGATTCTAATTTTGGTCCGATCTGGCTCTTGTAAATATGAAGAACGACAGTAGGAATCGGGACATTTCAAGAGCGGCGAATGAAACTATTGTATCCTTAAAGAGGTTACATTCCAACAAAGGTTGTACTCGAGTGAAGTAGCAGCAACACGAGCGTAGATGAAAGAAGAGAAGTTTATTGTAAAAGAGAATCAGTCAGTTACATGCCATGCGTGATACACGCTTGGGCAATCATGTATCTTTCGATACATGACTGACGAGGCAGATTTTTTTCCCGCAGTAGGTTGCCATTTCTTTCTGCCGTAGACCAGTTGCAGTCCATGAACCCGATCTGGCCAGCTATTTACCACAAATTGCGGGGTGGGGGGATTGTGTGGAGAACTGGATTGATACCTTTCCCAAGGGTATTAGTACGTAAGTGAATGCAATGGATTTAACTGGAATTCGAACTCAGCCCTTCGATTTCAGGGAATCCGGTAGCAGGCTAGTAATTCCTGAAGCAAAGCCCCAAGTATATCCTGTGCTACTAATATGGTCAATCCACATAGGCGATAGGGAGTGTGGGACATTACATTACAACAGAAACTGACCTTTTTCCAGAATAATGTAAAATATACTAGACACAATTTTCTATCATTCGACCTTGATTCTGACTTGGTTCATAGCAGTGATAATTACTTATGACTTTGCGAATATTTGTTTATAATCACAGTCTTAACTCAGGAATACAGTGAGGTTGCAAGGCTTTTTCACAGATCATTGTTCACTATTTGTGTCTATATTTTTATGCTATTATTCACCCAATAAAATGATTGGGCAATAATCCATTTTTTGGTTTGATCCGACTCTTGTAAAGATAGATCGTGGCAGGTGGAGTCAGGTACTTTCTGGATAAGTCAATTGCTTCTTCCACCGCGAGGAAAGTTGGCTCTCTGTGCCGCGCCAGAAAATTTTTCTCCCCTGAATCTATACTTCAAATATACAAAACAACCATTCACCCTTGCATGGAGTATTGCTGCCATATATGGGCTGGGGCACCTTCTGCTTACC